GAAGTTTGTGGAAGGGAAGGGGGAAGGGGGGGGGGGGGGGACACAGACTGAGGACTCCACAGTGAGGGAGGGAGTGGGGCAGGGGCTGGAAGAGCTGCCCAGCCAGGGTAGCAAATGAAACCCAGGGCCGGGGCAGAGATCAGGACAGAGCCATGGGCGGCTTGTCTAGGGGTTCAGTGTCCCTGAGCTTAAATATGGCGGTGACAGTGCTTAAAATTAAAGCACATGAAATGAGCGTTAGTTCAACTACCACCACCACCATTCTTAAGTGCAGGGATGCTTTTAACTGGAGCAGAGCCAAGTGGTGTGAGGGCAGATGCCAGACCAGCTTTAATCCTGCACGTCACTGCTGGTGGTGGAAGCCACTCGCCCAGGTGGACAGATGGAGGTCCAAGCAGGGAGCCTGTGCCGTGACCTGGCAGCCAGCATTTTGTGGCTCAGTGGTTGGGAACCTCTGCAATATGCAACCAATATATTGGTGCACCTCTACAAGATGCACCCATTCAAAATGATTAATGTATTTTTACAGCTTTACAAGCTAAACATAACCCTTAAATTATAATAAACTTTTACATAATACAGTAATTTACATAGCTATCTATAACATTTTCATCAGCTTAAAAGAACCTAGAATTTAAATGATGCAACAGAGACACCAAAAATAAAACAAAAGAGCAAGGAGCTGAGGATCAGAGAAGGAAGATATGGGGATTGCCAACTACTCAAAAATCTTGGTTTTAAGAGGGACCTGAAGCACTAAGTGGATGTTTTGCAAATGAATAAATTCAGTTTTACATTTCGCTAAAAGTAGAGCAGTAATTGTTTATGTAAAATAGACAGTTGAAGACACTGGTAATCAAATACCATAGGTAATTTTCATCTCTAGCTTACTATTTTTGAGCCTTGTCTTGTTTGACAGTGATGAAGCCCATGCCACAAAATCCCTGATTTGGCAATCTCTGTAGGGTCATAGGCAGCTTTACTGGCCAAAATTTAAGCCTCCAGACTGTAAGGTACGTAAGCAGTTACGGCACAGTTTTCTGGATTGATCACTCTGAGGTGCCAAAATTCTGCCTAAATAACATTTTGTATGCCTACATACAGTTCCTAATCTGGCTTTCATTCTATTCCTTAGTTTGTAACACAAGCTAACCATCACTACTAGCATCCTGATTGGTAGTTTTGGTGGTGGGGGTGTGGTGTCTACAAACTGAAATGGGAATAGTAAATGAATCTCATCCCTGAAGTGGTCCCACCAATGTAGTGATAAGGCACACCAGCAGGACACTGGGGGGAAGTCTGAACTGATGCTGACTGTGCCTTAAATATTCTGTGGATACAGATTACATTCTTTTAAGGATGTTAATCTGGCACTTCTCACAATACATTAACATTCTCTTTAAAAAGATGAGCAAGGATTTCTTAGGGTGATACCTTTTATTGGACCAAGTTTGTAATTGGAATAAAGTTAGACAATTTTTTGAAAGCAAGATATTCTTCTTTACGTCCCTGGAGCCAGGCACAGCAAGTTAAGCACAGCATAGGGTAAGGGCTGAGAGATATTTTCAGGTGTACCAGACAATTAAAAAAAAAGAAGCTGAGTACTGGGAGATCAAGGCCTATGACAAGGAGTAGGGTGAGGGGCAGCAGTCGATCTCACCTTCCTTGGGCAGAGATGGGTAAATCATCATGGGCTATAAATCTAATGTTTAGTCCTTGGTTCTTAGTGGCTAGCCAGTTTATAAAT